GAAACTTTGATTTTCGTTTTGAAAATGAAATTCACCTACCATGACTATTGTTTTAAAGTTTTCATTGTGAATGAAAATGTAACCTTAAATGTGATGTGAACCTGATGTTTCTTTGAATTGTTGTTCAAAAATTGTTTTTCTTCAAACGCATTACGTTTAACACCCTATGCAACTCGGTATCGATGCACAATTACCTATAACGATAAATTTATTTATTTGTCTCATTGTATCTAGCATTAGTGCATGTTATACAATGAAACCTCATTTATGTTCAAGATAATAAACCTAGCTTTTGTATATATCAGCATGATGCATTTATATCGCTGTAATCATTTAGTCATTTCCACCGTGTAGAAATATGATACGTGTACACAGAATGATGAATTGCAAGCAAGAAAAGTATGAATATCATCAATCTCCTCTGATTTTTTTTTTATTATTGTTGCGCCTCGAAACATTAGTACTTGGGCACTTCTCATTCAATAAAGAAATAGCAACAGTCTTCACTTGGAATAACCTTTCCAACAGACACATAAGGTCGGGCCAGTGATGGGCACTTACTGGCCCATTGCATCTATCAATGAACTAGTAACAGTTGCGTGAGCCGTTCTTGTGTGTTTACTGCGTTAGTATATATAATTATAGGTTAATAGTAGAATATTATAACAATAAAGTGAATAGTATAATTACTGTTATAAAAAGTAACGTCATATCGGAATGTACATTTGTCGTGTAGTTTAATCGCTTCGTGAGTACTAACAGTCGTTTGTTATCAGCGTTATATAAATAAAAAATAGTTTCCAAAAAGTTACGGCGCAGAATGTAGATAACGCACATACAATGTTCATACATTGTATTTACCCACTATCGTTGCGTTACTATGCGTTCGAGGGAAATCATGAAACTAAATCGAAATTAAATCTCATAGTAATTACAGTGGTTATCGATGTCCTATTTTAATGATTTTGTTCCATATCATTCATATTTGATGATTGTGAGTCAGCACAAATATGACTGGTGTGACGTGTACCGTTCATCGGCGTCGCCTACAAATAATCCGTGGCTGCTCCCAACGTGCTGTAATCGAAGAAAAGATCCGAAGATCTAATTTTTGGGCGCCATGTGCGGCTTTCCCGCACCACCATCCCTCACGACGGCCGTTTTCAGATTTCCCGGCGGCTCAGCCTCAGCGCACTGAAAATGGTAGAGGGGAACATGGGGGCGACGAGAGAGAATTTCGGAGTCAACGGATAGGCGCGCAAAATGATAAAACAGCGAGTAGGATACCGTTCCGTTTATTACCATCAAATAAACGGCGGATTTTACAATACAAATCCCGTCGCGTACAGTGTGTCCTCCAACGGCGGCTCACGACTATTCCTAGTTGTGATTTCTAGCCTGCCCCAGACCTGTCCCTATCTCGGTGTCCCTACCGAATCCGCGAATCCCCTCGCGGCGCGATTCGCGATCCTAACAGGTCTCGTTGGAGACGAGCCTTTCCTTCCTCGGGAGTGTGCCCTCTGACGTCGGTAGCCACCTGAGGCCTCCGTGTGTCGGCACCACTCCCGCTCGGCTATCTCCTCGCGCAAGATATTCTCTAAATAAGACCGCCCCCGCGGTACTTACCGAGAGCTGGCTGTCCCGTCAGTCCCGTACCAAATCCAAATCGTGGTCGCCGTGTCCCTTCGAAGAAAATCAAAATCAAAAGAAAATCAAAAGAAATCTCCTCTCCGGCGCCCTTCCCGCGGACCCGCAAACCGTAGCCGTTCAAAGTTCCCGGGGTACCGGCAGTGCGTCCTGGCGGTTGAGCACCCCTTGCATGCGGGCTCTCAACCCAAAAGGGCCCCGTGCCTCCGCTGCCAGTCCACTACTTTCCCCCGTTCCCTCCACCCGAACCACGGACCTACGAACTCTTTGGAGATGGAAGCCGGAGACACTGCCGTGCTGTCGGCAGCGCTCATTCCACTACTTTCCCCCGTTCCCTCCTCCCAAACCACGGACTCACGAATTCTTTGGAGATGGAGGCCGTAGGCACTGCCGTGCTGTAGGCAGCGCGCGGAGGTGCGGGGCTTTTGTAATGTGTTGTCCTGACGCCACGTTACACTGGATATATTCTTTCAAAAGTTAGAGCTAAACGTATAGTAGAAAAGTGCTAGTATCTCTCGTGTCACCGTGGAATACGGGTCGGTGTAAATTTACGGCTAATTGTGATCAGTGCTCACGGATTAGTAAAATAGACTCAATAATAAATACTATAACAATTTTTATTACTTTCTCGTACATATTATTAGAGTAATATTTTATCTTAATCGGTACAATCAGACAGGTAATTACATTACACTGATGTTGAACATGGATATACATATAGTTCTGAATTGAGCATAAATTTGAGAGTGGTTAAAACATTAAAACAGAGAAAGAGCGAGTGAAAATAATATTTGGAGATACGCTCTTATCAGTCTTCCCTCAAAAAATAGTCTCTTTATCTTTTTTGTTTCATGTTCCCATTTTTTTTTTAGATGCGATTTCATAAATGTTTGTATAAACGTAGGTGTGTAAGTTAGAACGACCCTTGTACCTTATACGTGATCCCCCCAAACATACTTACGTCTAAAAAAAACTATGCCAAGTATAGGGGTGGTGTAAATTCCTCTAATAAAAAGTATTGAAATCATATTATTAATTCCAAGTACATAAGTCACTACATATCTGCTTATTATATGATCTAGCACTAGCCCATCATTTTAATTGTATTTAACAAAAATTCCTATAATGTCTTCTCTACTCTTTTATATTACTACTGCTTTTCGTATGTAATTATGATTTAATGGTCATTTAATAATTAATAAGACTTTAGTTAATTTCTTATCAGGTACTACTTGGCGGATCCGTGCTGAAAACTTCATACTATTGTAACGTATGAGTACGCGAGTGATCTGAGTGTTTCTTTTGTCTGTGTATGAGTGTAGATGCGCCCCACTCAGCATATACTTATTAGGAGTCGCTCGATCCCCACCTAATAGAATCTAAATAATACCGGTCTAGCAAATGGTCGTCCCTTTCACCAACTAACCAGCAAACGAATAACAAGTATCTCCGAAAAATATAATACGTACGAAATTCTCTTTGTTATAATAATGCGCATAATTAGCTCTTATTTTATCATAGTTGTATTCTTATATTCTCTCTATAGGTAATACGCTCTGGGCGATAGGGCCATAAAATATATCATCATCTATATTGTACAAAATTCAGCTAGACAATTGAGGAATAACTGTGATCGGACACGGCGACAATTCAGCTAGATAATACACCGGAGGACCAAAGCAATAAACTACCATTCATCTACATCGATATCAGCGACTAAATAACTAATAGGTATATATATAAGTATTGAATATACAAAATAAATGAAGTGCGTGTTCAGAATATTGAATGAAAACTTTTATAAGTATGACTGTGGGAAGGCTGGCCTCATATTATTAATTAATTTGATCTAATGTATGACTTAGTTTTTAATAGATAATGATTTCGCTTAATATAATCATTCGCAAGATAATATATATAGATAATTTGGTTTGATCATATAAAAAATTAATCTTTTGGTCATTTTGTTACTATAATTTTCGAAAATTTATTTAGTTCATTGATATTAATGAAATGAACACATATACTATTAACTTCTAGCGAATTAACGTATTCATTGCTAATATTGCAAACGTTGTTATATATCGTTATATACATATAGATGCATATGAGAGAGATGGCATCATTCTTACCGTCTGTCAGTGAATTTCAAAAGGCATACTGAAGACTCATTTGTTTTGTGTAAGGCACGGACTCGCCAAGTAGTACTCGATATGGAATCACCTAACACGTAATTATTTATTAATTACAACTAATTTGATAATATAATTACTTTGATAATATAATTAATTATGTTAAATCATAATTAGATAGAAGCACCAGTAGTAACAAAAGAGTAGTGAAAGCGTTAGAGGAACTCTTGCTAGATCATATAATAAGCAGATTTGTAGTGATTTATGTATGTACTTGTCATTATAAATGTGATTACAATTTTTTTTATCTGTTAGGCACGTTTTTATATACGAAATTGTTTTGTTGTTACCAGTTGACTCGGGTAAAGAGTCTTGGCGGACCGTGCCCTGTATAGCCGGTTGTCTGTACCTGGCGCGAAACTCGACCGAGTCTCTTGATACGTTTATACATATTTTTCTTATTTTAGTGTCTTCACGTCAATAATAACTGCAACCACGATAAAATGGCAGCACTTGAGATAGTGTGTGGTGTCGCTGTCACATTTCTGTTGATCTATTATTACTTGACAAAAAATTATGGTTTTTGGAAGCAACGTGGCGTCGTAGGTCCTGTACCGTCGGTTCCCTTTGGAAACATCAAAGACACAATATTAGGAAAGTTTGCATTTGGGATTCTATTGAAACAGTTCTATGATAAATACAAAGGAGAACAAATGGTTGGTATCTTTGTCAGAAGCACACCGGCACTGGTCCTACGTGATCCTGAGCTAATAAAAGACGTGCTCATCAAAGACTTTACGGTATTTGCCAATAGAGGATTAAAGCACAATGCCAAAGTTGATCCACTCTCCGCAAATCTTGTATTTCTCGATGAGAAGGAATGGCGGCCACTACGTAAGAAACTCACTCCCGTCTTCAATTCCGGAAAACTGAAGCAGATGTTCTACTTGCTATTGGAATGCGGAGACATGTTCGACAAGTATTTGGATCATCTTTCTGAAAAGAATGAACCGATAGACTGTCGTGATATTACAGCAAAGTTCGCTACGGAGGTCATTAGTGCGGTTGCATTTGGTTTGAAGACAAATTCGATTGCTGATGGGAATAATGAATTTCGCAAAATGGGAATCAAAGTATTTGAGCCGAGCTTGAAGAAAACAACGAACGATCTTATGCGCGAAGCAATGCCCTGGCTCTACAGCATCTTGGGAAAATATCTTGTTAATGGGGAATGTATCGATTTCTTCACCAAGTGCATTAAGGACACTATGGAATATAGAAAACAGAACAAAATCGTCAGGCATGACTTTGTCGATCTTCTCGTAGATATCAAAGAACATGCCGACGACATCACTGACATTGGTTTGTGCCCAAGTGCAATGAATATCATTGATATTCAACACTCCTTCGTTCTAACTGATTTCATTCTTCGCCTCCCTTTGCAGAAATCACGGACGCACTTCTTACCGCCCAGGCTTTTGTTTTCTTTACTGGTGGATTTGAAGCCTCTTCAATAACCATGGGCAATGCTTTGTACGAAATGGCACTTCATCAAGAGATGCAGGATAAGCTTCGCCAAGAGATAAAAGAAGAGATCAAAAAGAACAACGGCGAATTGACCTATGAAGGCGTAATGAATATGCAATACCTCGATATGGTATTTAAAGGTGAATAAGGTTTATTCTGAAGTCATTCAATTTTTAGGGACGATCGCATGGAACGTGCGACAGTTTCTTACGCATTCGTCGTCGCAGAAGCAACAAATGCATGAGGTGCTGTCGCATGGTTGAAGCGATCGGCCGTTGGGGTGAACCTGTTTTCAACTGCTTTTTTTATTTTAATAGAAACTATGAGGAAATATCCACCTGGAGCATTAGTAGCGAGAGAGTCGTCTCAACCGTACACATTTCGCGAAACCAAGATTACAATTCCCAAGAAATTTAAAATTTTTATTCCGATTCTTGGATTACATCGTGATCCAGAAATATATCCTTCTCCGGAAACTTTCGATCCGGAAAGATTCACCAAAAAAGCCATTGCTGCCCGACATCCAATGTCCTATCTACCATTTGGGGATGGTCCTAGAAAATGCATTGGTAAATACTTTTTTTTTCAATTCCTCAATACAAAATTTGGAAATATCTTAAATTTCTACCAAACCATTGGGCTGTTCCATAACATCCTAATATTACACGTATAATCTGAATGCTCTCAAATATTTATTTCAATAACTAATTACAATAGATATATTGAAGTATCCTATTATTTTACAGGCGCCAGATTTGCCTTGTATCAATCAAAAATAGGCTTGATTAAGTTTTTGTTGAGGCACAAAGTAAATAAATGTGATAAAACAAAAGTTCCCTACGAGTTTCATCCAAGAACTACCGTTCTGTCACCAAAGGATGGTATTTACGTGAAAATATCGACAGTAAGCGTATAGCGATATAGTAAAGTTCTATTACAAGGAACAGAATTTTATTAAATGCGATACCATCATAAATGACAATGTCTAAGACGTATTCTAGAGGCGAGAATAAAGGTTGTTTCCTTATTACATATATTAATATTAGAAATGTGTCCCTCATTGAACATTGGATACACGCTGTATAATGTTAGTGTTGAATTAATATGGGAAAAAGTGTATTTGTTAAAATAAAAAGCAGGTATGGATTTCAACTAGCGCTTGTCTACCAAATACTTTTCTGTATCTAATTAATATACTTATACATTATAAAAATCTATAAGAAGAAACGATTAAACATTTATTGAACACAAAATTGTTAAATATGTATGAAAATTAAAAATTACACTAGATCATCTTATATGTAACATACTCTTCAGTTCACATTAAAAAAAATTGAGTACTATTGTAATACTGGAACCATACTTTCTATTATTTCTGTCACACAAGATTATACTGATAGTTGGTCCGAAGTGAAGATATAATCGATTATTTAGGGAAAACATTATGTAGAAGGGAAATATTCCAAACTAAAAATATGACATTATTCTCAAGATATGGGAACTTGTTTCCTATTAGTTTTATGGATTCGTCGCTTCCACGATTTCGCCCGTAGAGGGCTTTGTTGGGAATCGGGCATGTCCCGAGAATCTTCTACACGGGTTGCCAGAGAGAAACTGAGGACACGTATAGCAATATAGTTTGGTGAACATAACGCCCAGACAAACATTAGTAATCGTAATTAGGTTCTTCCAGCCTTGGACTTTGGTCGCTGTTACTTGTACTGGCAGATTTTGTGGAATTGACATACGTTAAAATGTGCCTGAGACGGCATATATTTATTTCGTGTTATTTCCAATGCCATTTCAGACACTTTTCTTCTATTTTCGAAAATCAATTTGGTACTAATTATACATGTATGTAGCATTATGTTAGAAAATTTTCTTCTTATTCTTATCTATTATTAAATACCGAAACTATCCATATCCAATGACTATCAGTTTAATGGATATTGTTAATAGAATAGTCGCAATACATACCAGTACGGTCAACATTACTATGATGTTCATATCAGATCTTTGATACAAAATATCGTTAATTGCAGTAGACTGACGACATACTATAGTGCACCGTTATGGCGAATCACTAGTTCCGTCCAGCAGAATGCATTTTACAAAGGATCATAAAATTTATCTTTTACAAGAACATTTAGTTAAACCATAGTTTCTTTGTGCTTGAAAAAAAATATGTATGGATTTTGACTTAAATTTTTTTTGCATATTTTTGAATATGTATACTTTAAGAAAATATAAACGAAAAAATTCGAAATTTTCGACCCGTCACAGTAGCTTTTTTCCTTGAGCACCTGTGATCAAACTACAGACGCGCCTTTGAGTGGGGGGAAGTTTAGTTCTCAACGGAGTGGAACAGTGGAGAAACGATCACTTATCGACTGGTGACTGTATTGATACAGTAAGCCTCTTGCATATACTATATGTAGATAATAATATTTTAATAATCATCGTGATCGTTAAAACACGAAATATTGTTTCGAAAATTATATCTAAACGCAGCACTTGATAGAGAAGTGCTAGTATCACCCGAGTGGCCGGGGAAGGCAGGTTGATGTAAATTTACAGCTAGTTATCATCATGTATAAATAAAACGGATTTCATGATAAGTGTTACGTAATTTCATTTGTTTTTACGGACATTACTCGAATAACTTTCCATTTAAGGACAAGGAGAGCGCATCATAACTTCAAAACAGATTATTGTAATTTATAAAAACGTTTATTAATTCTCATGCAAAGGCATTTTGCAAGCTGTTTATTATTATGCGATATAATTCAAAAACGAAAATGTAAGTTGCATGCAAATTTGACGTGTAAGATGTGCCTGTCGAAATTTCCTATAATTCCGATGCCCTTATTTCATAAATATTCCTAGCAAAAGTGCCATTTCAGTCATCATGAAACTTTCACAAATGCATCCATTTCAGTTTGATAAAGACAATTCATCAATTTCATGTAATTAACGATTTTCGTGATTGGAGATTCAAGATTAAAAATTTATTTACTTAAAACAATGTTAGTATGTAATCATACTATAGAAGCTTCTACCCTTATTACAGGAAACACATCTTGTAACAGTTAAAATCTCATTTACAGTAAATTCCATGTTTTATTACTACGTGTAATAGTGGCAATCACGATAACTGTGTTTACTGGGAAATAAATCCATTTCAAAAAATTATTGTTAGTAGCACGTTGTAATACGAGTGTGCACTTTTTGCCGCAGCTTCTGTGCTTTGTAAGAAATGCACAAAATCTCCCATTTTTTTCATGTCTGTGGTGTGGCGAAAGCTTGTGAAATTGTAACTAAAGTTTTTAAAAAGTGCGTATAAAAGTAACTAGCGTGATTTTAAAGGCATTTTTTGTAATACATGCACAAAATTTCCCTTTTTCGTGCTTGTAAAATGTAGCGAAAGTGGCGCTTCTTTGAGAGATCCACGTTCATTATTTAACTGCCACCTAGTCGACAAACTTTAAACGAGACAATTCACAATTCGTTAAATGTATCAAGATTGATCTATTCTAGTCTGAATTACATAACAGCCACGTTTTTTGTTTGCTGGATAGGGAGTGATTGAAATAATAACACAAAGAAAGAGAAAGCGCAAGAATAATATTTAAAGGTAGACGCTCTTATCAGTCTTCCCAAAAAATTAATCTCTTTATGCTATCCCTGTCATAATGTTTTATTTGCTTCCGATACTATGCCCACTTGATATTACATATCTAGGTTTGATTAGTTAAATTTTTTAATAACCATAGACAAGACCAGGTGTGTATGAAATGTTTATACGTAATTTTATTTTTTGCAGTATCTTCACCTTGATAACAACTTCTGTTACTGCACAATGGCAGTTCTCGAGATATTGTGCAGCATCGTTGCCATATGCGTGCTGTTCTATTATTACTCTATAAGAAATTATATTTTCTTGAACGAACGCGGTGTTCCAGGCCCTGAACCACCGTTTCCTTTCGGAACCATAAAAGATACAGTGGCTGGAAAATTGTCAACTGAAGTTCAATTGAAAGAATTCTATGATCAATACAAAGGAGAGCCAATGATTGGTATCTTTATGAGAAGCACAGCGGTTCTGGCTGCTACGTCATCCTGAGCTAACAAAGGATGCGATTATCAAGGACTTTGCTGCATTTGCGAATAAAGGAATAAATTACAACACGGAAGTTGATCCAAGTCTCAGAACCTTGTATTTCTGAATGAGAAGGAATGGCGGCCATTACGCCGGAAACTCACTCCCGTCTTTATTTTCGGAAAACTGAAGCAGATATTCCACTTGTTGTTGGAATGCGGAAATATGTTCGACAAGTTTCTGGATTCTCTTGCTGAAAAGTATTAACCAATAGTGTCGTGATATTACAGCATAGCTCGCTACAGAGGTCATTGGTACACGTGCATTTGTTTTGAAGACCAATACGATTGCCGATGGGGATAGCGAGTTTCGGAAATTGGGCATTAAAGAATTTAATGTGGACACAAGGAACGTTATACAGTTCTTTTGACGTTAAAAGTCGCCCTGGCTCTATAGCTTGGTGGGTTCACTTTTAGTCGGTTGGGAATTTGTCAATTTTTTCACCAAGATCATGAAGGACACTATTGAACACAGAAAAAAAGAATAACATTGTCAGGCAGGACTTTGTCTATCTTCTCATGGAGATAAAAGAAAGTTCCAAAAACTTTACTTATATTGGTACGTCCCCACATAGAATGGAATATGCTTGATATTTTATACTGATTCTTTTCTTGTTCCAATTGCTTATAATACCCTCTTGTGTTAGGTTAATTACACTTCGTTTCTCCTTGCGGAAATCACGGACAGTCTTCTTACTGATCAAGCTTTTATTTTCTTTAGTGTCGGCTTTGAAACCTCTTGAATGGCCATGAACAGTGTCCTGTACGAATGGCACTTGATCAAGACATACAGGATAAGCTTCGCAAGGAAATCAAAGAAGAAATCAATAAGAACAAAGGCGAATTAACGTATGAAGGCGCAAAGAATATGAAATACCTTGATAAAGTATTTTAAGATTATTAAGATTTATTCTTTTCATTTTATTTCTTACATTAAAAAATATTTGTTAAATCACAATTCCTTCATCGTAGACTAATATGATATTTTCTGGGAGATTTATGTGTTACGTATTACCGTCGGCTATATTTCCATTGGAATCGAATTGATAGTTGATATACTTGTCTAGGTATTATTAAAGTATATTATTAATAGTAAAATACCTATAGATATAGAAACCATATCAAGAAATCGATTGTGATCGGAACGTATAGTGGATTCACGAATTCGATTTGTTTTTTGACAGATCAATGAAGTCTCTAGTAAGGAACACGTGACACTACCTAAAATATTTGTTACAAAGTATAGGTTTGCTTATGTTTCGATTTTCTATTTTAGCATATATTTATGTTATTATTTGGAAAACCACGTGTGATTTGCTAAAGATAGCATTGCTTGCGAACTACCATATAAAGAAAACACATTGAACTTGTGGACTGACTATAGCCTTTATTATAATTGTATAGCTAAGAAGTTTTGTCGAATATAATGTACATAGTGATTTCTTTTTTTTTTTTTTAAACTTTGAGGAAATTTCCACTTGCGGCCATGACAGTAAGAGAATCGACTCAACCATACACATTCCGTTGAACTAATGTTACAATTCCCGAGAAATCGAAACTCTTTATTTCCATTTTGGCACTCCATCGTAATGCGGAACTATTTCCGTCCACGGATACTTTCGATCAGGAAAGATTTACTGAAGAAGCTATTGCGGCTCGACATCTGATGCACTGTACATATACCATTTGAGGATGGTCCCAGAAATTGCACATCTTCTTCGTTTTTTTCATTAAAAGATTGTCGAAATGTCATAAATTTCTCTCAAATCATATAAATTTTTTACAATATTGTGATTATATGTATTGCGATTATATTGTGATTATATGTACAATATAACCTGAATATTTTGAAATTTTTTTTTTATATCTCATTATTGC